TAATATATAAAAATACACAAATAAAGTTATACAAAATTTTAAAAAATTTTTAAAAAAAAGTTTCTCTCACCCAGACACCCTTAAAAGTGGGCTCTCCCCGATATAGATGGCATCAAATGGTCTTGATTTCACCTTTTAAATTTCAAAACGCTTTTTTTTTTTTTAATGAAAAATTTCTTTTAAGATTTTAATTTTACAAAAAATAAAAATCAAAACATCCTAACATTTAAGTATTATACTTTGCTTGTCATGTATATATCTTGAAATTAAAAATATTAATTTAATATCAAGATATCATGATTTTTCACATATTCTTAACTTTAAAGTTAAAAAGATATTATACTAATAAAACCCTTTAATTGGGTGATGTTATTGTCACACTCTTAATTGTTAATGTCACACATTTTTATTTTAATGGACCATTATACTTTTTAATTTTTTAAAAAACAAAAAATGTAAATTTTTGAGAAAAAGTATAATGTAAGGATATATTAAACAATTACATTAAAAAATATGATATTAACTATTTAGAATGTGACAATAATTCCACTCCTTTTAATTGGTCTCTAAAGTTAGATTTAATTTTCTCCTTACATTTTGCCTCAATTTATTTTTATGCCTATTAATTGACCAATGTGAGTACGGGCCACATAAAGTAACTGTTTTTTTATATGTCTATAACTTTTATTAAGAATTGATTATGATATTTAAAAATTTTAAAAATAATAAAAATTAGAACATTATGACTTATTTGTATATTTTGATATTTTTAATACTAAAATATTATTTTTTTCACAACCTATTTGAAATTATCTATTTATAAATTAATTTTAGGAATAGAGTAAAATCAAAACATTTTTTCTTTTAAAATATTAAGAATGATAAAGAAAAAATTAAAACACTCTTAATGAATCAATATGTAAAAAATATCTATTAAGAATATTCAAACAATTTCATAAAAAGTTTTAGCATTAAACTATCAAAATATCTTTTTTTCTTAATTTTAATATGTTAAATAGTTAATATTAATTATTAATCGTTCTTAATAATCAAATTAAATAAAAACAAAATAAATTGTTTGGCATTTGTTTAATAGATGATCGTGTGATCATAATCACTATCCTAATTGACATTCCACACAAGCAGTGGCGGAGTTAGGGGCCTAAAATATTGAAAAAAAAAATTTAAGTTTAATTATAAAATAAAAAATTAAAGTATATTTGAATAAAAAATAAAATATATGTTAATTATTTGGGGCGCCGATCCTGCACTCTGCGCCCCCTGCTTGCTACACCGAGCCTGCACGCTGCTGCGCCCCCTTTGCTTCACCCGAGCCTGCAACCGCCTGCGCCCGAGCCTGCACACTGCTGCGCCCCTATTCTGCAATCTGCTCTGCGCCTTGTCCTGTTCTTCAGCAAGATGGCCCACACTTCAAACAAAAAAAAAAAAAAAAAGAGCCCTGTCCTTGCCTCACCTGCAGAAGAACAGCGCACACCAACTTTCTTGGCTGTTTTGCGGGGCCAGTTTTGGCCTCATCCGATCAACGGTGGAAGGAAAAAGAAGAAAAATTGAAGGGTTTGGATGAGGAGAGAAGAAGGGAGTTTAGGGTTTTGTTTGATTTTGTGTAAGTAGGAAGGGACTGGTGAATTGGGGCAGGGTTTTTCTTTTTTTTTTTGGGGTTTCTTTTCTAAGTTTTCTTTCGGTTTTTCTTTTCTAGGTTGTTCTTTTCTGTGTTTCATTTTCTTCTCGTCACTGTAAACAAAAAAAAAAAAAAAAAAAAGAAGAAGAGAGAAGCAGAAGATAGAAGTCCGAAAGAGGGAGGGGTTTTTCTTTTATTTCTCTTGGTTCTGGAGTTTGGTTATTGCTGGAAGCGGTAGTAAGAAGAGGAGGATTGCTGAGCTTCCAGAACTCACCGAAGGAGGTTGTGCGTTTTCTGGTTTTTCATCTTAGGTACAGCTCTGAAACAGAGGATTTTGTTAGGAAAAATGGTGAAGGAGATGATGGAAGCTTGACCCCCCGTGGGTGGGGTTCCTTCCATCAAGTCCAAATCTGTTGTTCCTTGAAAAAATCCACCATGCTTGCTTATCTGCTTGTTTCTGTTGACATTTTTTTTGGTTAAGATGTTAAACTTGTATATTTTCAGTTAAAAATGAATGAAAAATCAAAGATTGTCCAATTCGTTTTGACTGATGAATGTGCTCTTTCCTTACTATTGGTAAAAAGGTGATTTATTTTTCTTTTTATGATGAACGTGTTCTTTCTTTTGGGAATGATGAACCTAATGTTTAGTTTCTTTTTTTTATGTTTGATCCTTTTTGTCTACTTTGTGTAATGGGTTGTGTTTTTGGGTCGGGTCAGTTCAACTCAATCTAGTTGAAAAAAAAAAACTAAAACTAAAAAGGGATTAAAAATATATATATTAAGCATGATTAGTAATTAATTAGGTTAATCAATTTAATTTTATGATTAATAAAATTAATTAATTATCATTAAAATAAATTAATCATATTTATTCATTTTAATTTGAGATTATTAGATTTATTTAATAATTTTAATTAAAAGTTAATAAATATGATTAATTAATTTCAATTAATTTTAATTAATGATTAATTAATCATTTAATTAAACTAATGAGCATAGTTAATTAACTTAGATCATTAAGTTGCTTTTAATTTCAGTCAAAGTCAAAACTTATTTTTATTTATTTCAAATTTTACCCAAAACTTTTGTAATTAAGCAATTTAGTCCCAAGATTTTTTAAAATTTTTTTAAAATCAGTCTTTCATTTTTTTTTTGAACTTAATCAAATCAGTCCTTTTAATTTTTGTTTGTGTTTACGATGCATGCATATCTTCAATTTCTTCCATTTTAGTCCAAATTTTTTTTTTTTAGAAATATCTCAATTTGGTTTATCCCTCTTTAAGTTTGCCTATTAAGACTTAAATATAAAGATAATAAGAAAGTTGAATTAAAACCTCAATATTAAAATATGCAATTGTGTTTAAACGGAGGATTGTGAGGTATGCGTATACCATTCTTCACTTTTAACTGAACTTTCGAATCTCAATCTTTGCGTAAATTCGATTTTAGGTGATTTATCTCACCTTATAATTTAAATGAGTGACGACTCATCTTTTTATATATTTCATATTTAATGTTTTTTTTTCGTTATTTTGAAAAATTCTTTAAGTTTTTGGTGGTCGTCAACAGGCGCTCGATGGGGACATCTCCACCAGGGTAGCAGGGAGTTTTTTCATATCAAATTTTGTAGGGATTTTTTCTTTGTTATTTGTAAAAAATTAAAAGAAGTAATTTATTAAATCCAATCAATTTAAATATTTAACTTATACCTATTACTCATTTTTTTTATTTTAGTACAATACTAAAATCATTATTTTAAATTGAACGCAACTTAATACATTTTTTTGGTCTTAAACTAATTTCTTAAAATATTTTATTTTAAAGTAATAAAAATAAAGGTGATTAAATTAATATTATAATAGAAATTAGTACTTGTGAGTAATGGGGATGGGACAATTTTTGCCCCGTCAAAAATCCCTTTCAAAATTTCCGTACCTGCAATTTGCGAGAACAAAAACGAGAGGCACTTCCCAACAGTAGGGCGATGGTCATTCCTCTATGTAACTCTTCAGCATGTATAGATGGTTATCTTTATCTTAATTTTTATATTTTTTATGGGTTGATTATCTCTTTAGTGAATGAAAAATGTTTCAGTGACCATAACAAAGGTGTGTCTTCAATTGTTCATTGACTCTATTTATTTGTATTACTTTTCTACATTTAATATAGTTAATATTTATTTATTTAATTTATATATTATTAATTGTATACTTGTTTCCCTTTTTTTTTTTCAATTTTGGAAGTTAATTCACACTCAGTATCTCATACTAGAATTTGCAATGCAGCCAAATGTTAACCCTAGAAGGGGAAATGTGGAAGTGCAAATACTTAAA